TTTCTTTTGTCTACTGTCAACACGCCGCCATTGTGGCCGAATACTTTGGCAAGGTACTATACCTCTGGTTGTGTTGTAAAAGCTGGAACTATGCTCTTTGTTAATAATTATAAGTACAACAATTTCATTTTATGTCTTGCGTTACCAATAATGTATATCAAATGTATATAAAAAATCTATAAAATTTCTCCACTTTCAAGATGTAATTAAAGTCACTTAACAGAACTTTATTTATTTGATTAGAATAAAACCGATCTAGCTATTCATATTGTATGTACACCTACACTGTGCTAAAATCAAAGGTAGTGTATTGAAGGGATGAGCTACGTATTATTATACTGAAAAAATCTATTCAGTGGATTTTACAATTTTGAGATTATGTTAAAACATTTTATCAAAAGAATACTTATATGTCACTATGAAGGTCCCACTGCAACTCAACTTTAGAGTTATCCCCCTTACCATAATGATTTGCTCCCCTTGGCCTCTAACTATTATCCCTTTCCATGGGGAATATTATGACATCCTTATCATAAAGATAAACAGATGTAAACAGATTTCTTTTTACGACAAGTAAATAACCTAATACACATTTAAAAATACCTTTGAGCTTTCATTGTCATGATATGACAGTGACCTTGACCTTATGATATGTGTCATGTTGAATGTCTAATGGCAAACCTCAGCACTGTGGTATAGCTGTGTATACAAAACAATACAGCTAGTTATTATGCTGATGTCCACTTAAAACCTCCATTATAGTTATATTGATCACAGTTACTATATAGCTGTACTGGCCAAATCTATGGCCTGCTGTGTCAATATCATCCGATTCCTGAAACTCAATACTGCTCTGAAGATCTGATCCAAGTTACAACATAGCGACAACAGTCAACATCACCTGATTCCTGTAACTCAATACTGCTCTGAAGATCTGATCCAAGTTACAGCATGGAGACAACAGTCAACATCACCTGATTCCTGTAACTCAATACTGCTCTGAAGATCTGATCCAAGTTACAGCATGGAGACAACAGTCAACATCACCTGATTCCTGTAACTCAATACTGCTCTGAAGATCTGATCCAAGTTACAGCATGGAGACAACAGTCAACATCATCTCATTCCTGTAACTCAATACTGGTCTGAAGATCTGATCTACAAATGTACAACAAAGGGACAACTGCTGACATCTGAGTTGATTCCTGAAGCTCCAGAAGATCTCACTCAAGTAACCTAATGGACACTCCCATCATCACTGATTTCCTCTTACTCATGTTTATCAAGATATTATCATAGACACAGGTCAGAAATTTTTATCTACAAGCAAAATCTGGAGATTGTCCTGGAGACAATGAAATGGGAAACATAGCATAGAGTAACGACCAACTGGACACTTCTCAGAGTAATGTATATAATGATAAGTACCTGAAATGCCATGGTCGGATGTATCTTATATTGAATGTATAAAAATATTTAGGACAAATGGAGATAATCTGAACCAAGAAACATTAAACAGAAAATAGATAGACAATTTTTCCCCAGAAAAAGCTGAACAAGCATTCTGAGCCAAGAATTCAACTGTCACAGTCACCATTCAATCTGAGTATGTTTTTCAGAGATCTACCAGTACATAATGTAGTGAAGTAAAACAACACAACAAAAACAAACAAGAGAAACAATGAATCTATATGTGTAGATTATATCATCACAACAGTAATGATATATATTGTCACAAACTTTCAGTTGCTATAGACAATTAACAGTTAACATTAAGATTACAATCAACCTGGGAAACATCCATTACAATACCTATATATGGTGCTAAACATTCATACCTATGAGCATTGTAAACATGTGAATTATACTTTATAGACTTAAAATGATGGTTAGTTGGTGCAGTGATAACACACTTGCCTTTCACCAAGACTTGCAAGGTTTGATTCCCTGAATGGACATGAAATGGGATGGGTTTACTGGTGCTTAACATGGCTTTTCTCCACAGGCTTCCATCCAAGCCATCAAGAGTACAAGTTCGTACAACTGTTTTGCATTTGTTGTAAATAAAATTGATTACTGGTATATGGTTCCTTTTGACCAAGAACCTGGCCGGTTGCCGTCATTTTCAAATCTGGAATATTTAGGTTCTAGTCTAATAAAATTTTTGGCACTTAACACTACAGAATCACTATTTAATTAAACTAGTCTAAGGATTTATCAAGGCAGTTTTTTGTGGGATTTTTTCAGGCAAGTCCAGAACAAAACTTTTGAAATTTTGATGAGTCTGAACGTTAAAAGAGATAGTGTACATGTGGTCTCAAAAAGGCCTTACAGAAAAAGCATGAGTATAGCACTCAAATATCGGAGTTCTTGATTGGTGTTTTTCCTATCAGAATGGTGATGTTTCCTTTATGTATATCTATTTACTAACATTCTTCCTGACAATAACATGATACGTATATATAGCACAGAACCAATCATTGCAGTATATAACATTCTGTGAAACAATGCAATCTGACTCCTACTTTAACACATATTTTATAACACAATTGGCTCTCCAAGGTTATTTAGAGGTTGTTGTTTATTTTTATATCTATGGTCGAATGTCATACATCACAATTAAATCTGTGTGTTATCTGGCTGGCCTGCCAATCAATAGCTATAATGAACTGGAGACTGAGAGATAAAAAAGAAACAGTTTGTCTACATAGAATGTTCCCTGTCTATTTAGTTTAATTTCTACTGTACAAAATTGAGTAAACGATACAGTATCTACAGTGATAACAATATTATACACTGTATGTAATTTGATATACAACTGTTTGTAGTTTCTTTAATTCCAATTTTAAGTTATAATAATATTTCTTTGAGTATTTTAGGCAATATTGTCTAGAGATGCATCACAATTACCCATGGTATTTGTATATTGAAACTTCATATATCGATGTAATATAGTCATATTAACCTCCATGTCACTAACTTTAGTTAGTATTATCAAATTCATGACTGAAGACACTGTTCTGAAGCAATCAAGAAAAATTTAACTCAATTTTACAAATATCAACTTGAAATTTAGTAAAAAGGTGTATTGTTATCATATCTATGATGTCGCTAACTATATTGATTACATTAAAACATATTTTCTGAAGAGTCTTTAAGACTCTTACTGTCACTGATTATCACATGTTGCTGACTTTTAGATAGACTGTTGAGAATAGATATTAACATCATCCTATAATTCTGTGCATTTTGCCATATTGTCCTTCCTCATTGGAGAATCCTCTGCAAACCAGAGCAATGCCAGATCATGACTGATGCAAATATCACTCGTAATATTTTCAGGAACACCTAGTCTGTCAAGTCATGTAAGATTTTAGTATAATACTTGATTGTCTCATAGCAACCGTATGCATGCATAAACTGTTTTGAATGATAGTCACATTGTTTATAGCATACGACTGCCACTAGGTAGCGTGGTGAATCTGTTAGAACACTTCACCAATAAAAAGCTAGAATTGGTAGTAACAACTAGTTCCAAAGGCTGTGACAATAGGCTCAAACTGTACTGCATTAAGTTTAGCCTAAAAATAAAACTGCATCTAAATGAAAAACCTGTGTTTTTCTGAAGTAGTGAAAGTAATTAACAAACACTAATTATATATAATACAACAGTAACTGCACAAGTGAGTTTAAATAAGAGCATATGTTTACGTACACAAGACAAATGGCTGGCAGTGACATTTCACTGATTTGCTAGAAGAAATTATCTACAAGTTCATTAAATCTGAATCAGTTAAGAAACAAAGAAAAAGTATGAACAGGTAAGGGACAAAGTGTCTGGATTTGCCCAATTTTATGAAACTAGTCACAGAATCAACAACACAGAAATGGTATGAGATCAGCTTCCTGAGAAACACAAACCACCCAAAGTTGATATCCAGCCACACGCCGGAGTCTGCATCGTTTCATGCTCTGCCAACTGACCTTATTACTTCCTCAAGAGTTTAATTATTTATAAATACTGTGTATCTCTCTCAAAATCCAATGTAATAGTTTTGTAAGTTGAGTGTCCTTGATTAAATTGTGCGTGAACAAATTTACACAGTATATCATACTATTAGAAAAACAATAATTGTGTTGTATCTTAGTGTGTCTTTTTTCACCAGGCATTTTAAAAAAATCATGGGTCCAGATTAATTTGTTGGGATACTCTTGTTTATTGTGATAAATAATTTATCAAAATATTAACTAATAAAATTTGCAGCTTTGACCTTTATTTTAAATGTTTGTCAATTGACATTCAACAGGTCTCCAACATAACTTGTTGTTAAAACATGATTTTATTCATGACCTTCACCTTCACTTCATAGATTAGCATGTTATTTTGGTACAACACTTCAGTGTGATTCAGTTTATAACAAATTCTCAATGATGTGTGATAATGTATTCCTTCTAAACTTTGGTATTTTTTGGACAAACTTACTGATCAGATTCAATGAAATTCAGGACCTAAATTCAAGGTAGTAATACAACAAAAAAGGCATGCATGTGTTTATAGTGCTTATGAATAACAGTGTGAATATTAGAAAAAAAAAACAGAAAATATGCAAGGGATATTTTCCTGTATATAATTTAATTGAAGACGCAGTGTTTAATTTCACAATCATCTAAACATTCATTTATTAAACTGTTACCACAACGACCTAAATACATGCAAGTCAAGGTGAAAAAGGGAACTTTTAATTTCCATATTTGGGGTAAATCATTCATACATTTTAAAACGGATAAAAACTGACATATTTATCTTTCGGTATGAACAACCAAATTACCATTTACCTCATGACGTTAATCATTACAACCTGATCCCCGTAGGGGCCTCTTTGTAAACACAGGTAAAAACGGCTTGTGGACACGCCTTCTTTCGGTTTAAACCTCCACGTAATCACTAAACTAAAAGCATTAATTAACCAACCCTTACACCCTTAACAAAGTCGACTTACCAGATGCAGAACTGTGTTGACAACATCTTTATTTGTCACCTGCTTCACTTTGACCAAGCCAATTAACAATCCGAATTTCAGCTCGTCATTTCCAGCTGCTTTCAGGATACCCTCTGTCGTGGTTACCTGTACATCCCCTTCGCCTTCTGTTGAAGACATTCTGCCACTTTGAGTTGTGCAGAATGTTCCAACGACTGTCTCTCAAAATCTATCGTCACAATATTTCGCTAGTAAACAAATATACACCTGATATCTGCGAGTACGTTGATGCTGTAAGACAGTTGTCGGCGAGATGCCGATGCCACTTCCGCGTCATCGGATTAAATAAAAGCTAAAATCTGATTGGTTCAGAATAATGATGTACAATTTAATTGATATTTTTCTAGATAATTGAAATTAAATATAGTTTTTCCATGAGACGGATTTTAAATAAAGTTTGTCAAATATCATACATTGAAGTTTTATGAATGTATTTTTTAGATTGATTTATTCTATCCGTAACGGTCCGTTTCCGTTTCCGAACACAGGACGTTGAAGCAGGCAAAGAATTTCAAGTATTTTCCCGACAGAAAGCGCACGGATATGTCGACAGCAGAAGTACAAAGAGTAAGTATTGAGAGATAGAATCTATTATCAATTTGTATACCATGTCGAATGTGAGTAAATGTTATCAATTTCGGTTTTAAATGCACATGCACGCTCGGTTTTTGACGGGTGATTGAATTTGGCATCTTGCATTGTTCCAGGAAACTGAATTTCTGGTCATTTGCCTTGATCTAATACAAGCTTTCGCCCGATCGCCAATAATTTACTACATTTTATGTTTTAAAATGAAGAGTTTGCGTTTAGTACTTTTCTATATTTAACTGAAATATATACGATCGCGATGAATCATTCATTCATAAAATGGAAATGGGCGGGGCCAACTAAGTATGATTTCAGATATAGACCAACTGTCAAATCATAGCACACGCGTATGAACTTCCCGTACATTTTGATATGAAATCATCACCAGTCTTGTCGACCACACTTTTAGACATATGACTAGACTTAGTAAATAACAATATCTCTGTTAAACATTAATCCATATCTGTTTAGTTTGTGCAAGGGATACATAATGCAGAGACTGGAAACGGACACACTGGTGATAGCTCTTGTGTTTGTTCACTGAACTGTTGAGTCATCCATGACCTGTTCTCTTCTCAGTTGTTATATTATGTACTAGGTTAAAGCAACCAAAAATTTGGTATGATATGGAAACTGGCCTATGATATTGATACCCCATTGAGGTATGGATTTATTACTTAAAATAGTTTAAATCACATAAGTTTTTTCAAATGTTTTTGCCAAAGATGCATTCATTTTGTCATGAAACATCATACAGCTGAAAAAAGTTAATCTATTGCATAACTCCCAAAAATAGATGCAGTTCTTCCAGCCTCTATGGCCTATGTTACAATAGTAGAGTTACATCAAGTTTCTAAGCAGCCAGCATTATTAGTAAACATATTTTTTTGAAAAATTATTTACCATGTGATAAATTAATGTGGCTTTTAATAATATATTGAGAAAGTTATTGCTTACACGATTCCTGTTGTTTTTAGTAACAAAAGCATACTCCAGTTGGCATATAATAGGCGAATTTGCATATTCTACACTAATTTGTGGTTTTTTCCCAATCTGATCTACCTATCTGTACCTTGTTCACCTTTAGCTTGTAGTGTTAACTTGGCACCTACTGGTTTGATAATTTAACCAAAGACAGTGAGAAGTGAAACTCATTTTCATAACAAAAAAGTACAAATGAATGAAAATAATTGACATTCAAATATGCTTCTACCCTGGTCTATCATCTGTCTGTCCATAAACAATTTTTGTTGTTGCTATTTCTGCACTGGATGGATCTTTCTAAAATTTCATGTGTAGGTTCCCTTTGGTTTCTAGTTATGCCCATTTGTTTTTGAGACTGATCAGAAGAAAAGTTGACATGCGACCATCTTGGATTCTTTAAAATAAAGTTTGTTATTGCTTTTTCTTGGTAGTTTGTTGTTGCTATTTTTTGAGAATTACTCAATGGATCTCTCTCAGATTTCATATGCAAGTTTCCCTCTTTGTCCCTTCTTGTGCCTATTTGACTTTGGGACTGATCAGAAAAACAAAATGGTTAACAGGTGACTTATCTCCAATTTTCACTTTGAAAGTCTGTTATCACAATTTCTAGAGAATATATGCATAGATCTTTCTCAAATTTGGGCCCCTTGGTCCTGGTTGCTCATGGATCTTTCACAGGGTTGATATGTAAGTTTCCATTTGTCCTTTGTTATGCTCATTTGATTTTGGGACTGATCAGAAAAAAGAAAATGACAAACAGGCAGCCATCATGGATTTTGATTTTGAAAATTTGTTATCACTACTTTTTGAGAAATACTGCATAGATATTTATCAAATTCATGTATAGGTTCCTCTTTGTCCGTAGCTGTGCCTGTTAGAGTTTGAAATTGATATTGATATTGATCAGAAAAACAAAATGACTGATTCAGATTTTGCCTAGTAAAGATTGTTATCCCTATTTCTTAAGAAGTACTGAACGTATGTATTTTCCATTTGATCTCTACTTGTATTTGTTTGATTTTGGGACTGATAAAAAAATTGCTTCCAGGCAGCTATCTTTGATTTGGCTGGTAAAGTTTATCATAGATATTTCCAGAAAGGAATGTTTAAATTTCTTATGATTAAAAGCAAAAACAAAGAAAGGAAAAGATCCAACTCTCATAGAGCAAATAGAGGTCAAACAATGGTGGGTGGTAAGATCCCTCTGAGATCTCATGTTAGATGTATAGACATTCTCCTATCCCTTCTATTATACATCCCTGGTTTTTCCATAGACATGAAATAATGTCGATCTGTTAATTACTGTATATTTAGTTGTTGGCATGTAATTATAAGAAACTGTGTAATATACCAAAAAAAATCAGCAAATTACATGTACATATTGTAAAATGCCAAGTTACTAGCAACAAGTTCACCTGTTTCATTATGACTGTATATGTTTTTAAAAGTGAATATTTATTATGTATCCCACAAAATCTGCAAATATAGTGATAATGTTCACAATTCAGACTTAAGAGTTTCATATCATCCTTCAGTTCCATACTTAATATTTATGATACATTTTAACTTTTTAAGAGTACCTTTCTCTTGGTGTGTTTATTAAAGATGTTTTGTCAAGATTCAATTACAAAAATATATATATATATATTTACAAGTGCATAATAGAATTAAGAAATTTGTATTACTGGTAAAATATTAAAGTGTACTGTGCTTTCGTTTGCAAGACAAAGAGCACATCAGGTGAAGAGAAATCTGATCAGGGAAAGACACATGATCATGATCAGAAATCACATGATCAGCAATCACATGATCATGATCAGAAATCACATGATCAGAAAAAAGATCTCCCATCTAATCCTGAAGAATATGTGGACAGTAACAAGGTTGAGGTATTCAACAAAAGAAACCTATCTGAATATATATTTTTCTGGATTCTTGTATAAATTCTGATTAATTCTGATCTTCATTCTGTATTTGTGATAGATAATGATAACCAGAGAATGGAACCTACTCTTTATTACAGCCTGATATCAGATAAGCAAACATGCTTCAGTTAGTGGAAATTCATTTCAGTGCTTTGCATTATATTTACTGCAGACACATTACAACAGATTGTCAAAGCTCAGTGCTGTGAATAACATATGAATTATTGTCTACATATATTGCATGTGTATGTTTCTGTTTGTATCTTTATGTGATATACTTATCTGCATGATGAGTCTGTTTGATATTCTACACAAAAAATGTACTCTTAAGCTTATGCCATGGAGTAATCTGTAAAAGTTCCCTTGCATGTGTTATTATATATATAATCAAATTAATATTTAAAAAGGGAAAACCAAAGTTTATTTCCATGATGGAACAATGTACACAAGCAAATGTTGAAATGTTCAAAAAGTTTCTATCAAAATTATGTGGGGTGAATAAATTTTCATTTTATTTTTGTTTTGACATCTTTGGTTTTCATGTGAAAGAAAAAATTTCATTTCAACTCTGATGACGAAAAAACAAACATCAATTTTTGTGGGTATGAATAAATATATAATGAAATGTATCTGTAAGTTTAATTATTAGAGTATTTGCTGTATAGCTATAATTTCCTCCTGTCAGATGAAATAAAACAGTAAATGAGAACATACAGTTTTTAGAACTATGTGTATGTACAGGTAAATCATTACCCAGAATTTGTATGATAAAATGCATGTTTTTAATTATCTGTAATTGATATCTAATATTCATGTAACATCATAAATCATGATACATTTTAACATGAGTGGATATTTTAATAATTTTATATAATTAGCATTAATACAGATCCTGGAATCATAATTATGTTGAAAACAGATACTAAGTAAACCAACAAAAGCACAATGTGTACAGTAGGTGTATGATCAGGTCATTATTGATTTTATTGTAAATAAAAGATCTTCATGTTGACAATAGTATGTGTAAATTACATTCTGATTATAGTTATCTATCAAAATATTGCTGATATGTTAGCCACATATATAGCCTATACAAGTGTTGTCCTGTTCCTAATTATAAAATAAATTATGTTGAACATTTACAAAAATGTCTGTAGGCATATACACAATCTGATTCAAGGCTAATTTATTACATATGTACTGTTAATGGTATGTCCTAGAATTACATTCAATTTCAGTCTAAGAATATTATGTAACATACCCCGGTACTAACACACATTTGATAGAAGACTATCTGAAAATGTTTCAGTATGAAGAAATGATGAATTATAATAAACATACTGATTAGTTTACAATGTGTTGGGATGGTAGAATTGTGTTGATCTTTCTTGTACGTATATGTGCCAGTTCAAGGTCTAGATCAAGTACATTTGCAATTTTTTCTTGTTTAAATGTCTTAACCATGGTGGTATAGCAATAACTAGTAATACCTATAATTACTGAGGAATTTGAAGTGATGATTTATAAGGGTACACAAAAGGATTCAAAATATATTACTGAAGTGTATACTTGGTTTCATGATAGGTATCGGTAGTATATACAACGTAAGACTTAAGTCTCGGAACATTGTTTTTAGGGACAAGGGGTATGCACTTACTTTTTCTAATCTGAAAAAACAACTGATGCTTTTTAGAAAATGAACACTTCTATTGTCAACACTTGATAAGTAACATTATAAATTTGATCATGATTTTCATAAAATTTTCATTAGAACCAACATTCAAGTATATATGTATGTAATGTTTAAACTTGTGGTAGTTTAATGCGTTCATTTATGATATTATTTATATCTTTCTTTTAACTGTATGGAATGTTTATGACGGAATCGGAGAGAGTTAACAATGAGACACCTTTAATGGATCTGTCAACATTGTCCTTCTCCAGCCAGGTGAACCTTTTGATAACAAACAGGAAACAGCCATCTGAGCTTGGTCGTTTACTGGTTGGAATTTCCTGCTCCATGCATATTTACACTAAGGAGCAACTGCAAACAAGTGTAGGATAATTACAGAAGCCTTTTAATTGATTTAACCTTGGCTAATAATTTAATAAAGTAATGAATTAGCATCTTTACCCAGGCTGGATCAGCTTTAGTTGGCTTTGTACTAGAACAGCCTACGGTTAAGTCCACACTAATCACACTTAACATATACAGCTAGAGCTCTTGCTTGGTAATACTTATTTACAAAAGACATATTACACATTAAATACTGCAAAATCTTATCTAATGTACCAAAATTAATCTGACAAAATGTGTCTGAGGTATATTATAGTTCTGTGACGTATCAAGTGAGGTTTGCCCTTAAAGGGGAGATAACTTGATGTCTGATCACTTGAAATGTTGTGTATTTTCTTATATTTTTATATACAGAGTAAAATTAAACGTCACTCACAATCACCCACTTACTTGATGTCTAATTTAGTTTGTTTTTTGTTTTTTTTTGCAAATATTTCGTTGAAATTGTAAATTGTGAGTTTTTTTTCTGAAATCAGAAGAAATAATTACACATGTATCTCCTTTCTCAGTGTTCATTTTTTGTTTGTTTGGGTTTTGTTTTTTCGGTTTTTTTTTACCTTCTTACTTTCTACATTTTACATTTCTACACATCAGATTTGATATGTCTGAAAATGCAGTCTTAATGGGTCCATGCATACATGAAGATGCCTTATAGATTATGCATGTTTGTAAATGGTGGCATATGGTTGTACTAAGCTACAGACTACAGATTCTCAAATGCCACAGTTTCAAATTCCATTCTATCTTGCATAGATCTAAAGTCTATGTTTAAATTAGAAGATCGTGGCCCTGACATCTGGTGGATGTACTAGTACATCGTTATGTTTATATAGCTATGTGCTGAATTGTACATACAAAATTCTAGTCTGTGAATAAAAATCTTTATCTACTGCCACAAATTCTCAAGCAAAACTTGGACATTGTAAAAAGTCTTCAGTCAAGGTTTATTTTATGGTACAAATTATTGATGTAGATTATAAAATATGTTCTTTATGAATCAAAAATTAACTAGTTCAATCAAAAAAAGAAATCTGGTTTCTTAAAGAAATTGAACTTGATACAAAGTTTATGTATCTATGTATCAATTTTATACATTTAATTGGTGGAGAATTTTAGAAATTACCTTAGAATATAGTGAACATAGGTATATTGTTACCAAACCATTATGATGTATAATGTTGTCCATATCTTGATCAATATATGACAGTTATTGACTGGCGTTGAGGACAACAGCTGTAATACTGGACTGAAAGATGATAATATTACTAAGGTGTACAGCTATGTAGATGATCGTGGGTGTAATAATTGACAAATATGAAATACATTCTTGTATCTGCATGCTTTTTCAGTTTGTGTTCAATTGTACCTAGTAAACACACATGATTAGGATTACTTGTACCTGTTATGTACGTAGAGTCCGATGGATTTAAAGGAAAAGAAATTGTTAAAGGTTTTGTTAATTACATACTGGCTAACTTCTATCTTAGTTTCTATGGGAGAGATTGTGCTAATTCAAATTTAACTCTAAAATCTCATTTTGAAAAGTGGATACTTTAAATGTTGAAACATATTTGATCAATTATTTGGTAGATAAATTGATTTTTTAATGATGTTTGATAAATAAGGATAATTTTTGACAGGAGTAAATATAGGCTGTCTTGAAGACATTAACTTTGTCATGAGCATGGAAAACTACTTTCCCTGTGCTTCTTCACTAAAGATCTTTGTTCCCTGCGAGTTCAAATTTCATCTTCCTGATATACAAACTTTGGGGCCCAACCTCAACAACTAATTGCGTAACTGTCAAGTTACATTTCCTGGTTAATCTAACCCAACCCACTAACACCATTTCATTTATAACAATGTATTTCAATGGCTATTACCAGGTACTGGAAGTAAAAACCTACAGGCATATAGTACACACATGTAAATGTAACATAATAATGTAAATGTGGATGGATGAAAATTATTTTAGATAATTACATATTTAATTTTTCTGGATATCTAAATTAAACATTTATACTTACCTGGTAATCTTTTCTTATCATTGTTCTCACTTTTCTTAAGCATTTGAAATTTATATTTTGTACATGTATATTATATTATACCAGTATACAGTACATGTTGATCAATGACATCCATTGAATAAACTTATAATAAGTGCTGATAAGAAACAGTAGATTGTTGTTTTGGAACTTTTTCTTCAGGTAGGTAATTTCAATAGAATAAAAGTTCTTATGACACAACCAGTAGAAGATTAGAATGTGATGTTTGAAAGATGATGGTACTGTCAAGTATTGATCTGTAGAAAAAAGACACACACGGACCAATTCTTAAACTTCTGAGGGCACCATCTTACACCAGAAGTTTGGTGTTTTATGAACCTTGCTCAACAGATGTGAAACGATTGTCACAGAAGAACAAGACAAGAAGCAAGAACAAAATCGTATCCATGGAAACCCTGATTGGGCAATCCAGAAAGTTAATGAATTTGATAAAAGCTTAAAAAGAGTAAGAGACAACTTGTAACACCAAGGAAAAGATCAGAAAGAAAGGACAAGTTGTCATCCCTTACATCAAAGGCCTGTCAGAAAGCATTCAGAGACAGACATGAAACCTCAGAAGACAATAAGAAACATCCCAGTTCATCATAAAACACTCCAATAGAACATCCCAGAATGTATATAGAAAATCAGATTCAAGAACTGTTATACATCATATATTGGAGAAACAGGCAGGAGATTCGGGGTCCGACTCAATGATCATCAGAAAAATGCAGAATCCCAAGAAGGCAAAACACATTCTCAGTCACAGACCAATAAACCTGCACTTACAGATCCTTTTGCAGGATCATATCATTACCTGGGAAAACTCCAAAACAGTTGACACAGAAAACAACCTTTTCAGGTGGTTGGTTAAGGAAAAAATGTGGATATGCTGCAGTGGGCAAGTAATGAATAGGGATGAGTGAGTGGGGCACAGTCTCTCGCACATGTATGACCTAGTGTTAAACAAACCATAGCAGAATTGACAAATTGACTACAGTACATTGTTAACATTTTGTGTATTTTTTGGTCTATAATCTGTTTACTGTCTCGTCACTCTATGTTTGACCTTAGTGTACATAGGACTATAGTACAGCTGGAAAAGTTGGTCTATTCATTACCACCTCATACTTCTTGCATCAATGCTAATAAGGTGGTCTTTGTCTGATGAAGGTGACCGTGTAGTCATCGAAACATCACTCTCATATTCTACTGGTTTTGTTTTAAGAACTTCTTCTATAGTAGATTGTGGTATTATATAATTAGTAATTCAGTATAAATACACTTCTATAGTTAATGTCATTTAACATTTGTTTTTTTGAACATGCATGTTTAGTTTGAATAAATTTAAGAAAGTGATATATGATGTATCTTTAATGGTTAGGGTTTGAAGACGATTAAATTTAATAAGGCAATGCACTTGTATTTTAAGATAATTTCATGTCCCATAATTGTTTGTTTGTAGCCCCCAAAGCCTCCAAGTGTGGGATCTAGCACACGGACTCTGACCTTGAATGGCCATGTTGGATTTGACAGTTTGCCAGACCAATTGGTCAACAAGTCTGTTAGTCAAGGATTCTGCTTCAACATCCTTTGTCTCGGTAGGTCATCCATTGACTAGACTTGTATGTCAAATGATAAGGCATGAAGAGCTGCCATGGCAATCCTTTACAAAAATGCTTTTTAATTTTTGAAACCGAATTCTCTGTTCTTAGCAGTGACCTAAATTACTGTATGACATTGTCAAGGTGATGTGAATGGCATTGATTACAGACGGTAAACTTTCAGTCAGTATGAGCAAAATTTGATATAACTTGTTGTTGAATCTGTTCTAAATATACAAATTTATGTTTGTGAAAATAAATTACAGTTCAAACTACCAGAGTCGACATTGCCTCAAATCACAATGAAGTGATTAGGTGGATACGTAGTCAGAACTTTTTGGACTAGGGAGTACACTACCTATCAGTAATGGCATTTTCTAGGGGGGAAAAATATGTTGATAATAATATGATCATATTTTGAAACATTCACTGTACATGTTGATTGTTAAGAAATCACAGGTTTCACTCTGGTCTTCATTACAATGGATATTGTGACAGAGAAACCATGCAGCTTGAAAAAAGTCTTGTCTGCTTGTGTATTGGCGGAAGTTAGGGTTTACGTATCAGTATGTGGGATGTGGAATGATACTTAATATGACTACAGGTTTATGTTTGTTAAAATCTCTATGACTCCTACACTTATTCGGATAGTCTTGACATAATTGCCCTATCAAAATGTGAAGTAAAACACAGTTACTTTATGGCAATACACATAACAAATGATCTTAGTCAGTATATACCAATCACTTGTAATAGAGAGTGATGGGGGCCTAAATTAGCGTCAGCTGGCATAAGCATGGTGTCATGGCAAGATGTGAAAGAAAATCAATGCTTAGTAAGTGACATGTATGTGTATAATTTGATGTTATCACTTACACACAATGGTTATGTATACCTATTTCCCACAGTGTTAACAATGACGTTAATAGTAACCACAGGTAGTGATTATTGCAACTCCAGTATCTCTATCAATAGTTATATTCAAACAATTCAAATTGTAAGGAAAATCAGATTGGACAAGATTCAACCTATCACTAAGTAAAAGATTGTTGTTTTTGTTTAAAAAATCACATGTAATTGTAAGTAAAACAATGTTCTAACTACCCACCTATTTATACTGACTGGAGGTTTACCCTATATCTAGGTTATCTGAATGTCTAGCTGTAGACATTATGGCAAATACATTGCAAACCTAATGAAGAATGAATTACAGTATAAACCAGCTTCTTTGTCGCCTTCTTGTTGTATATTGATGTGCTGTCCTATTGTAGGAGAGACTGGTATAGGTAAATCCACCATGATGGACACACTGTTCAATACTCATTTTGACTCAACACAGAGCAGACATGACCTTCCAGGAGTCAAACTAAAAGCTAGTACATATGGTGAGTACATACTTACACATGTATATACTGTCATAAGACATTCATTACAGAACACTCAAAGTCAAATGTTAAAATTATACATAAATTTCAAAGGTTTGGAGGTGGAAAGTGAGTTAATAGCGATAGTCTTTGTAATAATGATAATTTATTATATGACTCAATTTTCCATCATGCTAATTGGTTAAAATACTTTATAGGCCTAAATGTCTTGTAATGTTACTCCAAAACAGACAGAATTTGTAAAGTGAGGTAGATATAACAGTCTAAATCTCTGTCAGGTACCTCTCAGGTGAATGTAACAATCCAGTAACCTGTGCTGCAATTTTTACCAATCAGGAGCTCAAACTGTTGTCACATGACTGAACATGGGCTGAGATATCCCCTTCAAGGGTTAATCAATCATCTTATTCACCTGAAAACAGGTCAGTAACTGTAAAATATACATTGACAGTGTGGCGTTTGTGTTTACAGAGCTACAGGAGAGCAGTGTGAGGCTAAAGCTCACTGTGGTGGACAGTGTTGGTTTCGGGGACCAGATTAACAAGGAAGACAGGTTTGTATACATCGACTGGATTTACATTCTCTTATGTAGAAGAAGAATCAAGCTATTGACAAAGTTTTAATAGATATGAAATAATCACCATTATTTCCAATTTTGGAGTCAACAAGGGTGAAATATATTCATAAAAATGTAGATTAGAAAAAAAAGAAAGAATTAATATTTCTTGTCAAGATATATCTGAAGAGGATTATGTTTCCGTTTATATACCCTGTGGAAATGTGTTACAGCTGGAAGCCTATAGTCGACTATATTGACAACCAGTTTGAGGCCTTCCTCCAGGAGGAACTGAAGATCAAGCGTTCACTTCACACCTACCATGACACCAGGATCCATGCTTGTCTGTACTTCGTAGCGCCTACTGGACACTCGTACGTAAACTTTTACTTCTGGCTCCTACCGTCTTATCTTACATAAAGTCTTATTTTAGGCTCCTACCGTCTTCTCTTACATAAAGTCTTATTTTGGCTCCTACCGTCTTCTCTTACATAAAGTCTTATTTTGGCTCCTACCGTCTTCTCTTACATAAAGTCTTATTTTGGCTCCTGCCGTCTTCTTTTACATAAAGTCTTATTTTAGGCTCCTGTCGTCTTCTCTTACATAAAGTCTTATTTTGGCTCCTACCGTCTTCTCTTACATAAAGTCTTATTTTGGCTCCTGCCGTCTTCTTTTACATAAAGTCTTATTTTAGGCTCCTACTGTCTTCTCTTACATAAAGTCTTATTTTGGCTCCTACCGTCTTCTCTTACATAAAGTCTTATTTTGGCTCCTGTCGTCTTCTTTTACATAAAGTCTTATTTTAGGCTTCTACATGACATTCATGTAAATGTTTTACCTCTGACCCCTACTGTCTTCTCTTACATAAAGTCTACTTCATAACTCTACAGGGCACTCCAAGATAATCTATCTGCTTTGTCGTTGAACTAGTCTCTGGTACTATTAAATCTATTAATTGTGCATTTTTGTGATACAGAATGTACAAAGATGTTGAAAAGCCATTTTAATATGTATATACGGGGGGGTAGTTCATGACAAAAAAAATAAAATGAGTTTTTCTTGATAAATGAAAGCTTCTGTTTTGGTAATCTATGTGTTTCAGTGTATTCAAACTTAGAAGTAGAACATTATTTGGTTTTACAGATTGAAAGCTCTTGACCTTGTCACCATGAAGAAGTTGGACAGCAAGGTCAACATCATCCCAGTCATTGCCAAGGCCGATACTATCACCAAGGCAGAGCTTCAGAAGTTCAAGGCCAAGGTAGGATAGGAAAGAAGTTGAGAATGATGGTTGATTTCATGGCTGTTAGACAATGATGTTCTGTAAAACACTACTTAAATTACATACTATTGTACATATCATAATGACAACTATACAGTTAAGCATTATTTCTTCTTGGGCAGAAAGTGTTTTCTCCAGTTTATTTTTGTCTTCAAACAGAATGAATTCAACATATGGTGGAAAAATTATAAGTGTACAGTTTATAGTCAGCAGCAGATTAAATGATCAGAGTGTAAAGGTATATTAAGTCATACCATGATCTTTAGTAGTGGGGTAATATAATCAGTTAAGTGATAGTATGGTGAAACAAGATCTGGTAGATTTCATTTATCTGCAGTCTACATATTCAAAATTATGATAACTCAAAATACAGTTTATAACCATAGTGTTCTCCTTATTACAAGTATTAAAACATACAAGACAATGTTTTGAAGTAAAATAAGATGTTTCCACACAGATTATGTCAGAGCTGATGACAAATGGTGTCCAGATATACCAGTTCCCTACTGATGATGAGACGGTGGCAGAAACCAACAAGACCATGAATGTAAGAATTATTTGTTTATAGAAGAATTTTCCATGCCATTTGGTTTCATAGATATCCCATATTCAGCATATTCCTAATCTACAACCATCAAGATATGTGTTGTATAAAATTCATCCTCCTGCAGTAAGCCTGTTCCTATTTCGGTCTCACCTGTGATTGCCTGTTGTCCTGTGTTGTCTGTCATTCGTCGTAAATAATTTACATTCATTTTCAACTTCTCTTCAGTAAACAAAAGGCCAAGGGTCATGGTATTGGGCCAGTAGCATGCTGGGATGAAGGGCTATTAAGTATCTTAAAATGAATGATATTGACCTATTTTCAAGGTCACAGGGGTCAAATGTATTACAATCTTGAAATGACTTCTTCTCAATAATGAAATGACCAAGAGTCATGATATTGGGTCAGTGGCATGCTGGGATGATGGACTTTCATTTTTGTTCAAATTAATGACCTTGACCTTCATTCAAGGTGACAAGGGTCAAATATGCTAAACTACAACAGCAGTGTTGTCAGTTCTGTTTGATTGAAAATTAAGCCTTATAACATAAGCACAATAAAAACTTTGTCAGCATGCATATACCAGTTCTGTTCTGTCTGCCCAAATACTGGGAATAATGGACAGGTTCTAAAACTGTTGAAAGACTTGAAGATCTCAGGTAACCATCAAGGCCAATGGGCCTCTTGTTTTTTGTTTTCTTTTTTTCAGTGGTATAATTTCATATTTATATATGATATATGTGTTACAGAACCATCACATCACTAGTAGACTATCATATTCTTATTTCAGGGCCACCTTCCATTTGCTGTAGTAGGCAGCAGTGATGAGGTCAAGATGGGAAACAAGATGGTGAAGGCAAGACAGTATCCATGGGGCACAGTACAAGGTAGGTCAAGGTCACAGTATCTTTGCAATATAGTCCAAAGTAGGTCAAGGTGTGGTAAAATTTAGGACAAATCCACAGTACCCATGGGGAATATTTTGTTGTAGTTCAAGGTTACAGTACCTGTGAGGTAGTCAAATCTAGGTCTGAAAGCATTTCAAGTTGAACCTTGATTACTTGTCTTCTACCACCTTTTCAACATTTGTTAATGTCATGCTGTGAATTCTAAGTAAGCCAAGGCATTAGCAGGGTTTTATTCTTAGGCCAGTTAAACTTGTTTATGAAAGTCACTCCTGTGGCATGTAGCTTTTCTGTAGAGCTTGAATTACTATGAATTGAATTATATTAGAAACCCAAACTATTGTCCTTTTTTAGATAGGTTTTTGTTGTATACAGGTGGTTTTTAAGACAGGTTTGACGATAGAGGTATCAGATATATATATATTTCAGAATTGTAAGTATTTTTTAACCTGATCATTATACCAGTCAACTGATTGAATATTTTTGTTTATAGTTGAGAATGAGAACCACTGTGACTTTGTCAAGCTGCGTGAAATGTTGATCCGAACAAACATGGAGGATATGCGAGAGACCACTCACAAAAGACACTTTGAACTGTACCGTAGAAACAAGCTTCAGGAGATGGGTTTCTCTGACACAGACTCCAAAAGGTCACTGTCTAACATACTTTGTTCTGCCTTGTAATTAATGTTTATATAAGATATATGAGAAAAACGCCTTCACCTTTTGTCTGAACTATAAATCGGTGATTGTGTGACATTTATTCGAAGTATCTTTGACTTTTACAGTTTATCAGAGACATACGAGCTGAAGAGACACCAGCACGAGTCTGATCTACAAAAGAAAGAGGAGGAAATGAAACAGACCTTTGTGATCCGGGTCAAGGAGAAGGAAAGTGAACTGAAGGAAGCTGAGAAAGATGTAAGATGCAGACTTAACTTGAAATTAAAAGAACCAAATTACATTTTTAGGTTCATCTGACCCAATTTTCCTTCAAAACACTACTCTTCCTTATTGCTTGAATGCATTTCAACAAATGTGGTCTGAAATATCTTTGCAGAAATCATTTCTTAAATTCAGAAAGTTCATTCAACCCCTGCGGACTTAGTTACAAGGGTTCAAAAGGGGAACTTAGACAATATTTTGCTCCCTAACACTACTCCTTCTTATACCAGTGTAGATTTAACCAAATTTGGTATGAAACATAATTAGGGAGAGGCAATAATATTAAAAGTGCAGGAAGTGACCTTGACATTGTACTGCCCAAATCTTATTTTTATGCTTTGGTCCAAATTCCAACATATTTCATCTTCAACAAATAGTCTTAACTACTTATTCATACCATTGAGAAAAATATTTGGAGTTTGATTTGTTATTAAAAAGAAAGAGATAATATGTTGTTATTTTTCAGCCAGATCAAAACTTCAACTGCAGTAGCCATTTTGTAATATGATTGCACAATACTTTTCATATACAGAACTTTCTGATACTTTCAAGGAATGTTCAATATTTGTATTGATCAGATTTGTCAGCCCACTATCTGCAAATTCTGTGGTTTGTCCATTGATTGTCCATTATGCGCCATTGCCCTCTTGTCTTCATCGATTATGCCTCTCTTTCTTGAATAAAATCTGTTTGAAAAATCTTTAGAAATGGTGCACTAAAAACAGAATATCCACATGTCAACAAACTTATAATTCAAACCCTTTATTGTATTGATGCATATTACTGCAAACATGTAATAGTTAGCCATTTAATGGTCTGATTTGTGCCTGTAATTAATAAGGACAATGCTCCAATGTAGGTTCAAACATTTGAAATGGTTAAGCAGGTAAATAAATGGAATCGCCCATGATACAAACATGTTAAGAAACATTTGTTCTCATTATAAAAGCTGTTAAAACTCTCCAGATGTTGGTGTTTCTGTTTCCTCTTTTATATGATTTATCAGATGGTAAACCTTTTTTTTCCATCAATAGCTGCATCAGAGATTTGATACTTTGAAGAAACAACACACAGAAGAAAAGAAAAAGATTGAAGATAGTAAGAAAAAGCTAGATGATGAGTTTAACCAATACCAACAACGCAAACTTCAGTTCCAGCAGCAACAATCCACACTAGGAAAGAAGAAGAAGTAAAGATGCCCTCATTGTCACAAAGAATCAAAGGATGGAACAAAGATTTGTGGAAAAATGACTGATTTTGGCATAAAAGAGGCTGTCAGAAGATTTAACCTCAAACAAAACATACCATGTTAATATTTCTGTTACATACCTGGGGATAAAGCATTTTTACATGGTTTATCATTTAGGTCAGAAGTTGAACTATGTTGTTTACAGAACCTAAAAATCTGCCTTTTAAAGAATATTTAGGAAATATGGTTTCAAATGTCCTGATTTTAATCGCAAAGGAACATAACTCTTGTAAAACAGTGATTTCACAGGTATATAAGATGTACATGAACAAGTATTGTAACATACCTAATGTCATGTAAAATTTCACAGAAATCAGAAATGAATTTTATGTACAGGTTTATCAAAAGATGATGGTCATTTCACTGTCTCCTTTTATATCAAAACCTGATTTGACCAAAAGACAATCACTGGAGTTTCTCTAACGATGGGTCCAATTAGAGGAGTTAAGTCTGCTTTTGTAAGGTGCTACAATTAAGCCCATTATATTGCAGGTTACAATGTATCCTACCAATGTATTATACACTTATACTCTGTATTTCCTGGCATTGTGCTGTTCAGGAGTTTATACCTCTATGTTTAAACTGTATAAGAAGGTGATGAAAACAAATTTAAATTCAAAGAAAGAATGACCAGAAAGATGGTCAAAAGGGATAATATTTTGTACTACCATAATGGAAAGTAGTTAATTCAAATGAGAGCAAAAATTATCAAAGTCTTTTCAGTTGTTTTCACTTTGACAACTCCTGGGCATTCAAAACTGGTTCACTGCCAAAACCACATTATCACTGTAAGTTTTTGTGAAAGTTTTTCAAGAATCTATGCATTTAGATGAAATCCTATGATTCCATTGTATGTTTTACTACAATTTTTTGTAAAAAAATGTTGTGTGCATTATATTTACACCTCCAGTGCTTGACCTTTACAATTAAGGTTGATTTAAGGCAGAGAAAGTAAATTTTTGATGTAGAAATGTCAAATTATTTTTCAGAACAATATCCTTAGAAATTGCTACAAAATATTCTCCTCGTCCTTCTATATTTTTCATTTTCAATGAGACTCTTGGTTATACATAAATTTGAGAGATCCTGGGACTGATAGTCAGATATAACAATTAATCAGAGGTAACAGTTTGTCCTGTTTTCATAGCTGTTATAGTGAAGATTAATGTCAAAGTATTTTCTCTAGATTTTCTCTAGAAATTTATCATATACAGATATATATGATGTTGTGATGGAAATACGAGTGTTAAAAAATGAAGTTTTTGCAATATGCCACATGAAATAGGAAATAATAAAAAAAACAAGAGCATTTTTGGGGAAACTTTTCAGATTCGATCTTGGAAGTCCCAGGTTGTGTCTTTCATAATAAAATTAATAATTCTTTTATCGTTTTTTCGCATTATCATGTATCTTTTAGCTACAATGTATTAATTTTAACCTTTCTGTTAACATCTTTTATTTAATCTTGCCTACAGTGATTAAGTATTACACTTTAGACTAATTATCATTTATAACATATGTAGAGGTGCATGTTACTGTTGTTCTGTATTGTGACTTTTGCGTTTTGTGTGGTGGTTTCAAAATACAGAATTCATCTAAATGTCTGAATGACTGTCAGCAGTGTAACCCATCTTGACGGGTTTTACACTGAAAAATACTTCGTGTTTGACAATATTTTGAAGGTTGTTGGGTAAATTACTGGACAGCTTGCTTGGTCGTAATCGTTTAATGATTTGACACAACATCTTCAGCAGTGTGATTTATAGGAAGTCTGACATACATGTGCAATTACCTGTTTTCAAACTTGACCTTTGTTATTTCATGTTCTGAAAGATCCTGTTTCTGTAACTAGATCTAGAATGAAAGTTTTCCTGTTATTTGTGTGTATGTAAAAAAAAAAAAATCCAAGTGTGGAAAAAAATACTGAGACCAAAAATATTGATCCTCTCTGCTTTTCAGAGTATTTAGGAACAGTTATGAAATGTTTACTAATATCCACTAGCTCTTTCCTTTCTTTTTTCTTTTTGTGTTTTTATTTTACTTTATCCTGTTACTGAATATAATTATGAAATAGATTTGTACAACTGGTCCTTCAAAGGGAAGTTACTCTCATCATCTTTAGAATGGAAATGTGAAAGTGTGAGTGAGAATTTTTTTTTCTACTTTTATATGTTCAATATTATCATTACGCATAATTAACATTTTGTTTTTGTAATCCAATTTTATTCAGGCCCTGCATGCTGCTGAACATTGTAGATTGTAACAGTATATAAATTATGTATCTAGTCAATTGGCTGACCATCAAAAATAAACATGAAATTAATCACTTGCTTTGTTCTTTGAATCACAAATTCTTTATAAGATAGAACTAGAATTGATAATACAATGAAATCTGTTTATTTATACCGATAACATGGGATGACAAGCCGGTGCTTATGTACTGAATCTGACGGTTTTTATGTAGGGATACACAGATTTAAATGCTGTATAAAGATATACTGGAAATGTATCACTGCTACATAGCATAGAAAACAACAAAGAAATTCTAGTATGTCAACAGAATCTAAATCCAAACTCAAAAAATAAATGTTAGAATGTTTATGAATATTTAAATGGAGACTTGTGAAAAAAATGAGAAAAAGACCAGGGGTGATTCAGAATCAGCTATGACACCTGCTATACAAATCTTGGTATTGTCTCATTCCAGGCGAGTCCATGGTAAACAACAACAGATCTAAAGAACTTAATATTATTACTTTGTACTGCATTATTATAAAAGTAAAGCAAACTTCTTAAGCCTTAATATGTGACTCAACTGTTAGATTATAGTCGCAAAATAGGAAGTAACAGTAGCAGTTAACTTTTTTCATTTTTTTTTTTTACATTTTCTTCAGATTGGTAATGTCAACTTCTACAAACACGACCAGTAGAAGATTAGAGTTTGTCATTTCGATGACTACACACTCACCTTCACCTTCTAACACAACCAGTAGAAGATTAGAGCGTGACATTTTGGTGACTACACAGTCGCCTTCATCTTATAACACAGTCCGTAGAAGATAAGAGTGTGACGTTTCATTGACTACACAGTCACCTTCATCAGACACACTCTAATCTTCTACTGGTTGTGTTATAAGAACTTCTCTGTAGTAGTAGTAGTAGTTGAGATTAAGAACAATGGTAGAACACCTCGAGGAGTTTCTACTTATCTGTTTAGTGCAGGCTGTCTTTAGTCTACATTTTGTATGTGTGGGATTGACCTTAACTGACGTTGGTATTTGATATCTAGAAGGAATGACTTAGGTATATAAAATATGAGATGTGGAAAGGACAAGCCAATTAGATCAAGTGTCAGGGGAAAGTTTTTGTGTTCACATTACCAACCAATGGTGACCCGCTACACATTTGGAATGAGCTCAAATTTTACTTTGCAGAAACTTTGGTTGATCATTTTTCATAAAAAGGATAGAAGCAGTTTGGTAATTGTGCATCAGTCATATTATACACAAGACTATAGTCGAAAATGTCGTTGCAAAGGATTTCATGTCATGACATTGCTCTGATAGTACAAATTATGAATTGACATAACTATACATGTGTCCTGAAATATTCATGTGTGAAAAAGGTATTATGAAGAAATCCAGAGTGATGACACACTATGCATCTTTTTGATAGCAAGATTTAAATATATAAGGGAGGTCCAGATGTTCTGAAACGACTTAACTTAATGACTTTGTTTACAAACAGTCTTGCCCGCCAGAGGGCGGTGCGTTTCACGCTATATTTGGATTATCGCTAATTTTGACGAGGGCTTCCCCAGATTTTAAACTGACCACACTGGACATTGGGTACGTAGGAGAAAACTATTGTGTACAGATTTGTTAGTCTGGACACATATATTTGCATTTCCAGCTGAATAGAAAAAACGTTGCTTGAATAGATAGCCCCTTTAACTCAAAACCAATGCTTGCTTTTATCTAATTTTGTATGGTATAAAGTTATAAAGTAACTAGAACATCAAAGTTTGTTGTTAATAGTTATTTTTAGGTAAATATTCCTTTAATTTTGAAATTCATTTTAAATTGATATCAAAATACATTTGTATCTGAAATCGCTATACAAATGAGGTTATCAGGATTGATACCAGATATCTTGGGACTACCCAGCACAAGTCAGCCAAGCTTGCAGATCTTGTAATAGGAACAATGATAACCATATGTACAATTCTGGTATTTCGTCCACATCATCAAGGCGAGGATGAAACTGTCTCACGATGGCTCCGATGTCTCTCATGCTGAGGATGTTGTTCCAAAAGAGTGAGGTGGAAAAATCTATCCTTGATACACCAGACACATTCTCCGATATGTATACCGATGAAATCTACTTGAGGCCTACAAATGTGTGTTCTAATACTGAAAACCTAAATCCATATAGCGAGAGATTCAACAAGTTTGGACGCATTCTTGGTAGAGTAGTCCCTCGTAAGGAGATAAGAAACAATAGGTACCAACAGGAAGAAATTCCTTCGCTTCATAACAGTAGACCATATCTTCAGGAGGACTATAATAACAAACAAGAACCATTCCAACCTCTAGTAGATTATCAATATATTGTCAAATGGAAAGACATTGCTGATATATCGATGTTTTTTTAGTAATTTGTTAATGTGACAGTGCTGTCGAGTATTAGACAGATGACCAGAAATAAATTTCTGTATGAAAGTGTAGTTTTAGGTTGAAATTAGTGTTATTTATCATTTCTAGTTTTTTTCTATAAAATTTGGTAACCATGGTTGTCATAAATTAGAAATCAAGATGAAATGTTTGTTTGCCGAATTTTTATTTCTCTACTGCAAATGCTGTTTAGTGCATAAAGATATTTACGTGAAAAGATGTGTTTTTATAACCATCTCAGACATGCCCTTTAATGTAAGGACAAAAAGCAAACACACTGACCCTGCAACTTTACATGGACTTGTTCTAGGAAATGGGACATTTCAACCAAAGCACAGTCCTAAACTTAAGTGTCATATAAAGAAATTAAGGCTGATATGGTGTGTAGTTTACAGAATTCCCAATTGATACATGAATTGATAACAATAATAATAATAATAACAAATGTTGTGATAGGTTTCTACATAATTTGGTAAAGAAAATAGTATTATTTTAACACATATCCGAGATAATGACGATAAGTAAGTGAATAGTTATTACGATATAAATTAGCTTCGGAAAACTAATAATAATCAATATCTTGCAATCAATTGAATTAATCACGCACATGAAATCAAACTTACTTTTTTTTAATATTGATATTTCACAAAAAGTGTCAATTACTTACAAAATAGACTATAACTGATACAAGTAATATCAGTAGTTGCGTACCTACAAGTAAGTTTTACAGATAGATTTACCTGTAGGATCCCTATCAAATCAAATTGTCCTGTAGGGAAATTTACAATGTTTGCGTTCAGAGATAAACCCTTTATGATAATGATGTATTATTTGTCATTTTGTTGTTTAAAGTATTATGCTTATCATGGATGGTGATGATGATGATTGGTGATGATGATGATGATTTTTAGAAATGTATTATGAAAAAAAGAAGATACTTTTTAAGGTTTTGATTATGTCATTGTGATTGTTTACTAGGTCAATAACATCAATAATGTTTTCCTTCAAATCTTTAAGTACTAGTAAATGAAATTTGATGAATTACATTATTTTCCTTTCAATAAAGCAGTGAACATATGAGTTTATCGCCTTTATATTATATATATATATATATATATAAAACAGTCTATGCAATTACCTACTTCATGATTAAAACGCGGATGCACACTACCACTTAATACCACAATGTATTAATACTTCCTAGTATTACAGATCCTATACCTAAACTCTTCTCCTTATTACATACGATAACAAAAAAACACAAAGAAGCAAAGTAAAGCCTTTATTGATAAGGAAAAATGACAAACAATCAGGAATGTTAAACATACACAATTAATGATATTACTCATCTACAAAATCAAAAAAAAAAAGAAAAAAAAATACAAAATAGATGAAAAGTGGAGATGGACAAATTTCGGCACAATTGAAACTTTTAGATCTACATAGCTGTTAAAATATGTTTGGTATTTTGAAGATAATATTCGACACGTCCACTGAAGTTGATTTCACCAACTCGTCCGATCAAAGAGCAGTCAATACTATCCAGTTCTACGACATGGCCAGTGCAGCTTCTCATAACTAGGAGAAGTTGGTCGATTAGAACATCAACACGATGGGTGACGGCATAGATGTCATCAAGGTGATTTGTTGTAGTAAATTGCGGACAGTTCTCATCGAAGTCATTTGTGTCTTCCAGGAAATTGGTATATCGCTGGGCAATCTGTAAATTATGTATAACCGTCGGGAGTTAGATGTTTTGGCTCTGTATTTATTAATTACGTTATAATATCACCACTGAGTTTAATTTCTTTTTTTAAATCTTTGACGTCATAATAGGCTATGATCCAGGTGAGTAATATGCAAAAAATATAACATTGTAAACCAGGCAATCGTCTAATAAACCAGTATTTATGGTCTTGATGTCTTTGTGAGATAATGGTGGTAAAAAAGTTTTCTTAAATCAAGAAGATGATTAATGAAACCTACAGTGATATTTCCCAAACTGAAACGTTATCAAAAGTAAATTATGAAATCAATAAAATATTTAAACAAGATGTAATATATAAAAATATACAAAACATGATATAAATTTCATGCAGTAGGCAATAGTGAGGTATCCGTAACCGCACTTACAAAAATACAGATGTTTCCTCATGATGGTTGATGTATAATGGACAGATGCAGGGCAGCTCGTCCTATTTATATTGCTGTGATATATACATCCATTGACATTCAATAAACATTGGGAATTTGATGGGATTAGTTCAAGTACGCTTTTAGTAGATGTTGAAATTATCAAGTAGGATTACACGGATATTTCAAAATATAGAAGTGTTAGTTTGAAATATATATTTGCCGATAAAAATACTTAGTAATACAATATTCACAGGAAAAACCATTCTTCTACTTATTTGTAAAAAACCCATATCTATCAGGTACTTTGGAAGTCAGTGTCAAGCAAGCAAACATTACTTTCAAAAAACGAAGAAAACATTCCCACCTGCCTACAGACCGAAATAGGAAGCAGTTTTTTTCAGACAGCAACAGGAAGCGCAGGTTTCCCCTTTACAAACAAGAAGAATGTTTTTTCCTGTGAATGATGTCTTTCTAATCATTTTCTTTTTCTTCAAAATACTTTTCCGATTTGTTA